GGAGATGTCCGTCCCGCTCTTGTGCGGAACATGCTGGAAGGGGTCCACTTCGCCCTCAACGGCCAAGGGGTCGAACCCCTGCCGTTTCATCGGGGTCATTTCGAAGAGAGGAGGCCAAACAACAGCACTGGCCGACTTCCTCTACTTCGAAATTGAGGTGTCGAGTGTGCTCTTCGCGTGGGAAACGAAGAACCGTCCGGATAAAGTGCGTGAAGTGTGATGTGGGACTCTGCTTTCCGGATGTTTCCAAGATTTCCACACGAAGCCAACATTCCATTAGATGACGCAGGTGGGAAGAGAGACAACTTATAAAGCTGGTGACCAAAAATCATGTAAGTAGAAAAAGAATTTATAACTTAAAATTAGATTTTAAAAAGCCGGCTGCACGCGTGGACTGCACGACGACATATGGCGTCATTCGTCCCCTTGACCTTATTTTAATGACGTCATATGGCGTCGCTCGGCTTTTAAAGGTTAAACTCTCTACTTATGAGAACAGAACTAGTTGAGAGCAATACAGGACAGACAAACCACCGAGCAACCCTTACATGACGAAAGAAGTAAATCAATGCTACAGAGATTCTGAGAAGGTCCCTTCTCATGTTGTGTAGACCTGTGACTTATCAACATAAAACTAGGCTGTTGTGAAACAAGACCTTGAGGAGTATTCTTGCGACGTCACTTTATTACTCAACGCCATAACTATGTACAATACAATGTAGCTATAACATAAAATGTCGAACAAGTCGTTTCACAGTCTCTCCTTTTGTATTAACAACTCTCATTATAATGTAGAACCGTCCATCTCACCATGCTGGCTAACCACTGGCTTCTGTCAATACACACTGTCTTCTGTCGGCTTCCACTGTCTTCTCTCATTCTCTCAATATACACTCACTCCACGCAGCTTCCACTCCACACACTGTCACGCTCGGTCCTCAGCTGGCTTCTTATACTGTTGCCTGTTGCCCTAGCAGCAGCGGTGCCCGCTGTTATGTCACTGTGGGAAGTGTTTACAGGTCTGTTACCCTAGCAGCTGCAGAAGCATCCACTGTTACATCACAGCGGGCAACTGTCGCCTAACACAGCCCCTCTGCTGCTGCATCACCGCGGGGCAACATTACTGGCAAAAAGTGTGTTATCGTGTCGCGGTGAGCCCACAATTCCTAACATCGGCTGTACCCCAACTCAGGCAGTTAGTTGCCGGCTTCTCACCGTGGCAGCCCAGGTCAGGTCATGGGATTTGTGGTGGACAAAGTGGCACTGGGGCAGGTTTTCTCTGAGTACTTTTGATTTCCCCTACCAATCTTCATTCCAAGAACTGCTCCGCAGTCATCACCATCCGCAAAGTATTAAAGTATAATAAACTGGGGAACACTGTAGTTTTGTTTTTCTAATTTTCACACTACGTTCAGAAATGTATATAGAATTGATGTTCTTTAATATTTTTGGCACAGTAAGCCTATAAAAATTAGGAATAATAGTATATTATCTTAGAAATTCAACTGGGTATGTTAGTCATAAAAACATTCCAATCTAAACTTGCATCAGGAAATAGGAGATAATGTCATTTCATTTTTAAAAGAGGCATTTCCTAGAAAATTCCCTGGTATTAAAACCATTCCAACCACTGAAACTGAAATAAAAAGTATAATACATTCCCTCAAAACAAAAAACTCTTCAGGTAATGATGGAATAACATGTAAAATTTTAAAAGTTTGTGCATCTCTAATCAGTAGCCCATTAACTCACATCTGTAATCACTCACTATCCACAGGAATCTTTCCTGTTCATCTTAAGATTTCAGTAGTAAGGCCACTATATAAAAAAGGGGACAGGACTAATATGTCAAACTACAGGCCAATTTCACTGCTAACTACTTTCTCTAAGTACTTAAAAAGTTATGCACAGTAGGTTAAGCCATTATTTTCAGAGTAACAATATACTAGTCCCAGAAGAGTTTGGCTTCAGGAAAGGAATTTCCATTGAAAATGCAGCCTTTAAGTTAACAGACAGTGTGTTGAAATCTAATAATCAAAAAAATGCATGTTGGTGGAATATTCTGACTTGGCAAAGGCTTTTGACTGTGTAAATTGTGAAATTTTATTAACTAAATTACATTTTTTGGCATTCAAGGTACAATGTTAAGTTGGTTCAGATCCTACCTAACAGACAGAAAACAAAAGATTGAAATAAAAGCATCAAATCCAATTCTATCTAAGATATATTTAAGAGACTACAGATCTTGACTTTTCCTTGTGAATATACATATTCATTAATAGACTTCGTTACAAATAACAAAGAACATTTTCAGATGAATGCAGATGTACACAGTGTTAACACAAGACACAAACACTGTCATCATAAACCAATTGCTAACCTCTCATGCTTTCAGAAAGGCGCATATTATGCTGGGATCAACGTTTAATAACTTGCCATCTGATCTCAAAGGTATTATGAATGAAAAGGCATGATTTAAAATAGCACTGAAACGATACTTAAATACACATTCATTCTACTCTGTTGATGAATAACTATTGTCTAGAAAATAACTTATGTATCTTTAAATAGCCTTGTGTGTAGTCACTGTGTATTCTTGGTTTCTCTTGTGTGAGAACTCCATTGGGTCTGTACACATGTTTTGTATTTATATGACATATTCAACATCCAACAGTCATTTTGACTAACTTTGGATCCATGGAATGCAATGTAATGTAATGTAATGTAATGTAATGTAAACATAGTCACACGTCACACCAGTATACAGTTTTTGACACAAAACATGCTGTTTCTGTGGTCTTAATTTCTTTGCAGTTGATGGAATCTTGCTTATATTTTTTTCCCCCTCTTAGAAAGGGTACTGTTTTGTCTGACGAATGTTGACCTGGCACTTTGTGTTCTACAGCATTAGCATATTTCATAGAGTCCCTCAATTAAATGAATTCTGATTGACCATTGATCTATTCTTTTCCTTGTGTTTATTCCTACGTATTTTCATCGCATTCAGAAATTTTCTTTTTGTCCCTTATAGTTTTGAAAATTATCCCAATGGACATTCATGCTTTTCTCAATTCTTTCATTTACCACAGAATCGAAAAAAGCATGAACATTCATTTTCAGTGTCAAATTCCAAATCTCATAAAACTTTGTTCTGATTTGGTTTGAGGTAAATATATCCTCCACTGGTCATGATAAAGCACAGCTAGTAACTTCGCTGCTCGTGACTGGCCTTGGCAGCTAAAGCCAGACTGCATGATATGTATTTAAAGAACAAAGGGGAATTACAGTAGTGCCATTCAAATACTGAACTGTTTCTGGTTTGCTACATAGCAGTCATAACACACTTCTTACAGTCAACATCATGTCTCAAAGTCGTAGATTGTCCACGTTTTCTCGTGGTTACAAATTCCAATTTAGAAGCAGCACTGGTCACAATATGCCTCAAAAGAATCAGCTTTTCATTCGAACAGCACAGGACAGCAGACAGTATCAATCCAACATATTTAGTTCATAAGAATTCCACAAGGTGCAAACAGATTTGTATGGTAATAAGCAAACCAAGAGTTGAAGCAGAAAACTTTTTCAAAGAATTCAAGAATTACAACTGCCGCAGGAAGTTCAAAGTGGGACAAGGCATATACAAAATGATAGCTTGAAATATCCTTTGATTTCATACCAAAAGAATTACTTTACATGAAAAACAACAGTTCAAAATACGAGCTGAAACTTAGTGCTGCACTATGCGTGCCAGGTACGGACTTCAGACATGTGACAGAAGCTGTTGGTGTGTCATGCATAGAATACAGCACTGAAGGGTTTAATGAAGACCCATTTTAATATTTTCCTACTACATCCCCCAAGGAGTCTCTTCACTTAAAGTTTCCCTATCAAAATGTTATGTACATTTCCTGTTTTCTCCATAGACAGTTCACAGACTCCCACATTTTTCTGGACAATTGGCTCCCAGATAGTGGTGAGGTTGTTAGCCTTACGCATCAGCCAACTGCCCTTTATCCCCAGGAAAATTCCGTGTATTCATTTCTGTTACAGGCTGAGTTGATCCCAGGGCCGTAGTGCAGCTGGAAGGATCAAGTCAATTGAAAAGTCATTGGGAATCAAACCTCTGACCTTCCAGGTTGTAGCATAGTGCCTCAACTAACTATCGGTATCAGTATCAGTCCTATTATTCAGAAAATGCAATGGCACCAGTCTGACCTAAGAAAATATGACATACTGCCAGTAAAAGTTAATCCTAACAATATCAGGAGAAAACTACAAATTTTGGAGCTCCAATTAAAAGTACTCACAAGGCAATGTTCCTTCCCATGGTTCAACCAATGACCTGTTCTACCAGTTCTAATAATCCTCTGCAGCTGATTGGTCTTCACCCAAATAATCTCATCAACACGCTCATATCCCCAAAGCTTCAGGCATTCTCGGCCAAGTTCCATGGCTCTGAAATGTTAAGCAACCCACATTACGAGGTCTGACAAGTATGTTGTAAATGCCTGAACTGAAACTGCTATAAATAACTGGGAACACAGCTGGTATATGTCAGATCATCTGAATACATGAGTTAGCAGTTTTGTTTATAATCATTATGATTCACCTTCTTCTGAGGTTGCAGTACACTGTTTTACATCACAGTGTTTGTTCATCAAAAACATGCAAGATAAATTGCTAAAGCAAAGCATAGACATTAAACTTTTAGTGGAATCACAAACAAATGTCACTGACATTTACAAGTAAAAAAAGAAGTAAAGTAAAGCTATCCCTGTACTATGCCGTGAAGGCCCATAAGGTTGTGAGACGTTGAGGGGCCCACATTATCTAGACAATTGGCTCAGAGATGGCGGTAAGGTTGTCAGCCTTACGCAACAGCCACGCTTTACTCCCCAGGAAAATTATTTCATTAATTCCTGGTACCCATTTCTGTTAGAGAGTGAGTCGACCCCAGGGCCATAGTGCGGCTGGAAGGATTAAGTCAACTGAAAAAATCCAATGACCTCATCAGGACTTGAACCCACAACCTTCCGGCTTGCAGCAATGCCCCTCAACCAACTACCCTACCACGTGCCCTGAAATTTACAAGATGTTACAGTAAGTTTATGGAGACCGAACAGTTAACAGAACACAGGGTTTTTGCGTAAGTTAAGCAATTTGAACATCAGAAGCAAAACTTTGGTTATGAGGAAAATATAAAAAGAAAAGAAGCTGTACATATGAGATTTGTTAATTAATTACTAGGAGTAACTTCATAGGACAGAATACACTTTTAAGAGGAACGTTTGACAAAGGGTTTATAAATAACATGCTAACATTCATGTTCAAGTATTTATAGCAATATGTATACATATTTCAAGTATTTATTCAGATAAACTTAAAAAAGTATTACACTCTTGCATAAATTTACAATTCAATGAAATATATTGTAACATGGAGGCCAGTGCGTTGCTGGGTAACAGCCCAGTCAACACCTTGGAACTGAACACATACAAGGCAACAATAGAAGAATTACCGTTTCTATGCAATTACCTGTAAACAACATTCAGTTGAGTGCGTTATGACAATAGGAGTCAAGAATGAATGACTTTTCCATTTGGTGTGTGTGTGTGAAGCTTATAGAATGAGTATCTTGTTATAGCTTAGACTAGACTGAGAGACTAGTGTAGAGTGCATTGTGCAGAGAGCTTATAAGAAAAGTGAATGCAGTGACAGTGCAATTCAATTCAGTTCAGTTCAGTTCAGCAGTCGTAAGCTGTAGGATTCATGGATCCGTCAGAAAGACGTCATAGAAGGCAGTTCAATAGTTGATGTGTTAACCTTGAGAGTGTTATAACCAGGGCCTGGATTTTGATGACCTGAAAATATTTAAAAAAAGGACCTATAAAATGGCCGATAAAATCCAGGAAAATGACGTAAATATGACCCAAAAATGTAATATGTCAGAATATCTACTAATTATTTTAAAATGTATTTTTAATCTTTATTAACACTGAACTCATATTTACTCTTTTAAGTTCGTCCTTGTTTTTATGTTGAAAATTAAGCAATATTCATTTAATTTGAAGCTAAATGTTTTAATACGATTTTTTCTGTTGTGTTAGAATGCTTATCAAATGTACATATATGGTATGTATTCCAACATTTAAGTCTTACCTCATTCAGAGTTGCAACAGATGACAGTCAACAAGCGGAGATTCTCGAAAGTGAGAGAGCGCCTATTGTCCAAGAGCACATTCTTGTACTTGGAAAAACTGCTTTCCACATCTGCAGACACAATGGGAGCGTACTTGAAGTGTACCAAATCACTAGCAGTAAGTTCTTCTTCAATACTGAAAGCACTGAAGGACTCTCCTGACAGAATTCGAGAAATGCTGCATAATGTTTCATAACCTGAGTTTTTATCCGGAACACTTTTCATTTTTCTTGACACCATTTTACCAATGTCCTCTGACACTTTCTCCAAATCACTGGCTATTTCTTTCATCAGAGCGCACAAATTTTCTGTCGTCGTTCCTTTCTCCTGCAAGCATTGGATTCCTTCTGTCAAGGAACTGAAATTTGCCTTTATGAAGGCCAGCTGTCCTTCCATTTCGATGCATGAGAACTGTCCCTGAGCAGCTTCAATTGCCCTCGCATCCTCCGTCTTCATTGAACCTACAATGTTTTTCACTACCTGAAAATGATCGCAATAGTAAACTGCAGCATCAATCCATGTTCCCCACCTTGTAATGATGGGTTCCGGGGGTAGTGAAACACCAGGAGCCATAGACTTAAACTGCATTTTACGAGCTGGAGCCTTGACAAAAATTTTCTTCATCCTCGACACGAGCGCATCCACTTGAGGAAATTTTGATCTCACTTCCTCTGTCACTCTATGCAGTGCATGAGCTAGGTAAGTAACATGACCAATTTCGTATAAAACAACTTTATTGACTTGCCTGCTTTTACAATACATGGGGCTGCATTGGTCACAAAAAAGCAAGACGTCGTCGTGTCGTATACCCTCTGGCCAAGAAGAAACATCGACCTGTCGAAGAGTTTACAAATTGTGGAATGATTAAAAGATTCTAGCCCCCCACTTGTAAGCAGAATCACTTCACCTGGTCCACCAATTTCCAAGGTCCCAATGATGACGTTTGCCACGTAGCGAGCCTCCATATTGCAGGTCTCATCAATAGAAACGAAAATCTTCTTCCCACTCACTTTATTCCTAATCATTTCCAGGATACCGTCGTAGCACTGGGAAAGGTAGTCCTTCCTGAGTGTGGATTCATCCGGGATGGAACGACTACAGTTTACTTCCAGAAAAGTTTTCAGTTTTCCATTGTTCAGAGCCCAAAACGGAATACTTGCAGATGCCAGAGCATCACACAGATCTCTGAAAAAATCCAATGACTTATTTCCACCTCCAGATGAACACTGTTGCAGTAACATTTGCACAGGTTTCTTTTTGTTCGAAAATTGCACTGCTCGTATATGCTTGATGCGGCCGATATGCTGTTGTACTGTTAATCTTTTTTCTGCCACTACTTTTGTGTCACACATCTTGCAGTATAAAATGACACTGCCAGTTGAAAATTATATGATCTCCAAACTCGGCTACAAATTGCTTTAAATGACACGATTTAGTTGGGTTTGCTTTTGGCATCGTGATAAAATTAATCACTCTAGCGCAACACAGAACTGAACTTTTCTCACCGAGAACTTTTGTCAACTGTATCTTTACCTGTACGGTCAAGGGCGAGGAACTGAAGACAGGAGGAGTTTCATTGAACAACGTCATATGAAGCAAGAGATTCTGACTAGAAATATGTGTAACTAAGCAAATTGCTTTGTACAAAGAGCTGCAGTGTGAGCAGTCATCGCCATACCCTGTTTTATGATATGTATTGTCAGCACTTCTGCGAAACAAATGGAAAGGACGGGCCAGGATTACAACCTATTATTGTATACTATGGCCTTTGTAGAGAGCGCTTAGGAGAAAGAGAAAGAATACTTTGCTTCCATATTATTCACATTTCAGAAAACATATGAAGAAAAATTTCCTAAAATGGCCAAAAATGATAAGAAATACCCTTAAAAGCCCAAAAATTTACCAAAAAATTACCCCAAAAATGAAAAAATGACCTTACACCAAAAAATGTCAAAAAAGTACATATAAAATTTACATTTCTGTAACCAGCAGCTCATATCCAAGATTTATATATTTAAGAGCACTGCATAAGAAGCAAGCAAAAAAAGATGACATGTCATCAAAATCCAGGCTCTGGTTATGACTGTGTGTCATAGATACAGCAATCTTGAAAGTGTAATAACGAATTGTAGTTACGATATGTGAAATAATCCAATAAATGGAGTTATCAAATCCAGAAGCCCTTATTTACTGTCGCATTACCGGGATTCACATGACAATTTATTTACATACATGCAAACCTATAAATTCAGGTGGAAGGAAATTTCATTTAACTACTATCAAGAACAAGAGACTTTGGTAATCTATGCATGTATTTGGAAAAATATTATTGATTGTTCAGTGATGTTCATGTATTCAGACAACCACTGATGATTACTGAATATAAACGTTAGAAAATGTATACACAGCATAGCAATTCTTGTTTATCTTGAAAACTGCAAGAATTAAGGAAAATATTTGTTGGATATACAATAAGTTTCACTTTGCTCTGCAGCTTTTGTTAAAGCAATTTTGCTAAGATAAACATTGTAACATCTTAACACATTGCGGACCGGAGGGGCCATATGGCCCTCTACGTTTCCAAGCGTTGCGGACCAGTCGGGCCATATGGCCCTCTACGGTCACATTAAGTTGCAAAACGCTATATATCAATGTGTGGCTTCACTGAATCGTAACTACTGCATAGATGACCTCGGGAATGATTGCTGCCTTATCTAGTAACTCGACCAGAGTCATTTCCTGTCACAACCTAAACAAAATTGGCTTTGTTCTAATCCAAGCTTGCACGTATGAACCACGCAGCTACCAGTTCAACATGGCTCAGAGACGAAAGCAGTTGCGATTTCTCAGGGGGCAGGAAATATTAGATATGTTCTCCGATGAGCTATCAGATTTGCCAACTGCTTCGTCTTCTGATAGAGAGGCCATTATCAGTGACAGTGACAGTGACGGGGGCCATAGAGCTGCCCAAAATGTGTCAAGTGAAAGTGAGAGCTCCATTGAAAGTGCGAGTGCCGGGACAGCTACATGGGATAAAGTGGACAAAATCCCCACTTTGGAAAAGTTTACTGGTGATCCGGGGGTAAAGCAGATGCCATCGGACCCAACGGATGTGTCTGAAGTTGCGTCACTGTTTTTTGGAGATAGTTTCTTTGACCTGTTGTGTCAGGAAACTAACAGATACTATCTCCAACACCGTGAGGCGTACGACAGAACCAATA